AATACAGTACCCCTACTAACTACATTCTAAACATTCAAATCTAGATGAGTTTTAACCATTCTAGTAGGTTTAGGTTGTAGATAAATTAGTTAGTTCTTCTTTCTATAGTCTGAGCTTCATTTTTGTATCTAAATTTGTAACTCCGAGCAACTTCATGTGGTTTCTCTAACAAGTTTATCAATAAAGATAAGAGCAAAATCTCACTTTAAAAAAAAAAATATAAAAAAAAAAATATAATAAACTATTAGAAATGAATTATTATAATAAGTTTAAAACTTTATTATTAAAAAAAAAAATCTTAATTTTTCAAAAAAAAAATAATTTTTATATATTTTTCTGATAAATTAAAAAAATATTTAAATATTTTATAAAAAAAAGATTTCTTCAACGAAAAAAAAAAATATTTTTTATTATTAAAATATTATTTTTTTCCTTAAAAAATTATTTTCAAACATCCTTTTCTATTATTTATTTATATTTTTTTTTATTTCATATATTTTTTACTATTCTTTTTGAAAAAAAAAATTATTTTTTTCTTTTTAATTTCTTTTATTAAAAATTTTATTGATTTTATTTTTTTTTCTATTAATTTTTCTTTTTTTTAACGTAAAATTTTATTTTTTTTTCTTATTTTTCTTTTATTTCATAAACAAATTTTAAATTATTTCTTGTTTTTATTAGTATTTTCTATAAAATTTTGAAAAATATTAAATTTTATTTTTTTTCTTGTAATTTTAATAATGATTTATTATAAAAATATTTTTTTCTATTTTTTTTTCTTTAAAATTCAATTTTTCATTTTTGAAATTTTCTCTTTTCTTTCAAAAATACTAATATTTTACTATTAAAAATTTATTCATATTTTAATTTATTATTTTTTTTTCTTTTTGTAAATTTTTTTCATTTATTTAATACGTAAATTTATTGTTAAATTCTTTAAAATATCTATTTTTCTGTAAAATATTTTTTTTTATTTCAAAAATGATTATATGTAATTTCATAGTATTTTTTCATTTTTTATCAAAATTTTAATAAAATTTAATTTATTTGTCATAAAATAAATAGTAAAATCTTATTTTTATTTTTGAAAAAAAAATATTTTTATATAAAAGATATGAATTTATTATTTAATAAACAAAAAATATATCTAAAAACATTGAAAATATCAAAAAAAAAATTTGAAATAATCGAAAAAAATATTAATGATATCAAAATTTTTCTTGATTCAAAATTAAAAACTAAAAAAAAAGAAAATACAATCAAAATACATATGAATCTGTTAGAAAAAAAATAAATAGAATGAATTTGTTAGTCATTATATAAATCGAAATATTCCTATGAATGAAATCAGAAAATATTATGATAAAAATTTAAATATCGATGAATTAATCTCTTCATTGCCTTTGAAAATATAAATAGAATAAATACCATTCTCATAATTAGTTATGAATTCTGAAAATATTGATGAGGAAGAATATGAAAATCAAATGCGAATTTTATTAAATGATATATTTAGATTATCTAGAATAACAATTGTAGTTTTGTTATTTTATTTATCTTTCATAACACTTGTAGAATTTAAAAAACATTCGGATCTTTTTGAAGATTTTTTTATTCCAATATCTAAATTATACTATAAATTAATAGAAGTTTTAGACAGTGGATTTTTAAATTTTTTATTAAATATTGGAAATTAACATGAATTGAAACATAATTCCTACTTCCTTTGCTAATTATTACAGTCAAAATTCAAATTCTGTACCAAAAACTAATACTATTAAAAGAATGAATGAATTAAATTTTAAATCTAATAAACAACCAAAAAAAGAAATTCTTGATGAAAAAGAACAAAAAAATAAATTGTTTAAATTATTAAGAAAAATAAATCTTGATATTACAAAAACAAAAAAAGAAATTAACATAGTAAATGGACAAATTGCAAGATCAAGAATAAGTGATGAAAAAGTTGAATTGAATAAATATATTAATATTTTAGAGAAAAAAAATACTAAATTAACTAAAGATAGAGATAAACAATCAAAAAATTAATCAAATTAAAAGAAACTTTGAAATCGCTTTCAAAAAGAAAATATATCAACGAAGAAACTATTAAAGAAATAGAGAAAGAATCTTCTACATCTGATTTTACCAATGATAAAAGAAAAACTATAAAAGATAAAACAAATTCTACTAAAGGTAGAAAACAAAAAACAACTTAGAAATTGTTTCTCATCATGAGTAAATATCATAAATTTAATTTAAATTATTCTTCTTATTCTCTATACCCTAAAACAAAAAAAAACAAAAAATAATAACAACTCTGATGATTTTTTTTTAACTTTTTTTAATAAAAATCCTGATGATTCAGTAATATATCAAAATTTAAAAAATGCTAGTAATAGATCAACTCAAGTGTATATTCCTGATTTACTATATAACATCTTATATAATATTGAAGAAAATATCACTAAAGATGGCAAACCAAAATCTTCTAAAAAAATATTATTAGATACTATTGCCTCTAAACTTTACTCTGATGCATCATTTAAAAATGATTATAGTTCTTTTAGTACTGAAGTAATAGAGATGTCTCTTAAAAAATTCAATGGTACTAAAGTAAAATTTGGTAAAACTGTTTATACAGATGAAAATATCGTTACAAATTCTTTAATAGCATTGAATAGATTTGGTCAAAAAATATCTGATAATCTTTCAAAAGCATTTAAATTAAGATTACATGGATTTTTTACTCAAATAGATATGAGTATAATATTAAATGCTGGTAAAGAAGGTGTAATGATTGACCCTGATAATGATAGAAACATATACGAACCACCTAGTAATTTTATAGTAACTTTGTGATTCTTAAACAGAAAAAAAAGAGAAGATCCTAACATGAAAGAAACTGAAGATAATTTTGCTTTCATGAGAGATAACCTTGAACTCAGTGATATCTTTAAAAAGGGCACAACCAGATTTAATAACACTGATGATAATATGAGATCACAAATAAATCAAGATAACTGGAAATTTATGCTTGCTTGAGATATACCTTTTAATGTAGAAGAATTATCAAAAAATATCAAACCTGATAAACCATCATGGTATGATTTTAGCATAAAACTTTACTATAGTCATGTAAATACAAAACAAAAATCTAAATCACAAGGAATACTATACGGTTTAAAAACTATAGATAAGGAAAAAATTTAATAATTTACTATTATGATAAAGAACCCGTAACTAGTTCTAAAGGAGAACAGAGTTATATAGTTGGATACCAACCAAATGTTATCTGGGTTTTAACTGTAACATTTGATCCAGATACAATGAGAAAAAATATAGAAAATAGTCTAAGATTATCAGATATAGAATATAATAATAATATAATATGAAAAAAAAAAAAAAAAAAAACTCTTTTCCGTAACTCACTACAACAATACTGCGCAAAATAGAAAATAAAGGAAAAATACAAAACAAAGAAAACCTTCCTTCAGGAAGGACTTTAAATAAAAAGAAGTTAATTCCTTTCAACAAACTAACAACAAAAACAACTGACAACAAATTCACTGTGTCTAAAGATATAGAAAAAACAGAGAAGAGGTGTCGCCTCTCTAAAAATATTGCTACAGCGACTTCCTCTAACTCTACTAACACAACAAACAACAACAACAACAACAACAACAACAATAATAATACTCATGACTCTAATGCTACAACAATGTCAACAGCTACGTCTAATACCAAAGATATGCAAACCCAACATGAACACCAAAAAGAAATTCTCGACCTAACTACTATTAATGCAACTAACCTCACTTACAAAATCACTTTTGTATACCCTCCTCAAACGAACAACAACTCTATACTATAAAATGCCACAAAACAACCATCATTAAAAATGTTACTCTCCACCCAAAATATTGGATTGATACAACCACCAATAGTGACTCTGCTTTACTTTTTACTCTTACCAAATTATCCAATAATGCAATTAATATTACCGTCATTAATATTACAACTAACATAACCTAATCATTATCACTTATTCAAATATATCAAAATACAAAAAACTGCTATCTTAAAACTAATACCTACAAACAAAATTCTGCACTTCCTATTATGCCATATGATACAGCTATACTCCTCAACACTACACTCATAACAACTACACCAAATACTCATGCTCCCTCTCCTGAAACTAGTAACATATTACACACAGAGACTAATACTACTCAACTCATTGAAACTCAAACTGAAATAGAAACTAATTCTGACTCTAATAATGATGATAATACACAAAATACAAATACAAACACACAGATAGATACCAAACCTAGTGATACAACAGACTCTTCAAACCAATCTTGAGCAGACCAAACTGAATATGAACTCATTGAGCGACCTATATCATCTTCCTCCTATTGTATACACAATACTATAATGGATGAAGTATTATCAAACTCAGATACACAGACACTAGCTAATGTTCCACTAACAAAGAAATTATTATATGCTGAAGCAACCCAAAACCCATATCTTTTTTTTTTTTTTTTTTTTTTTTTTTTACTTTATACAAATGCTATTGGCCGAAACTTTATTGGTTATTTGATAGTAGGTAATGATACATATTGTGAGGATACAACTAGTCATACATATAACTTTAGATTATCTATTTAAGTAGTCCACCTGAAGGTTCTACACTAGTTGTAATACCTAAAATCTATTTGAAGATTCCCTATTTAAACCCTCTGGTCCTATAACTTACTCATTTCTATCTATTTATACCAAGCCAGCTTAACCCTGTGCTACTTCTCCAAGAAGACACCCGAGCTGATATATGTCCACAAACTTTATGATTCGAAGCCTAGGCCCATCTCAGGTACCCTTTCACCATCTTCCAAATTGATGAATGTTGTGGTACTCAACTATGCTACGCTATATCCTAATCTAGCTTGCATATACCCTTGTTTGATGTTCGTACAAGTCCAGTTCCTACTGTGGTCTTCCACCAAGTTAGTCATCTGTGCCTCCAGATATCACATGAAGTAGATTCTCCCAAATCTGTTACTTGGTATTGCCTGCTTTGACATTGGATATCATATGAGACAAATCCTCCCAAATCCAGTTAGCTGCCAAGTCAGGTTAGTGTTGCTATACAACCTCATGTAATGGACTTACTTGCACCTATTTCATCGATCCTTCTATACTCAGGACTTACTCATATCTATTTCGCCAATCTTTTCATATGCAGATTTCCTTTCCCAGATTAGACGTTAACTGGTATAACCATCAAAATCCATACTACTTTACCTATCTCAGAATTTCTACTATGCAGGTCCCTTGCCTGTAGATCCTATCAAGATTTATTTGTATAATATTACGCCTCGCTGAATGCCTTGTCATACTTCTAATACCCAATTAGTATTAGTGTAATGTGATTTACAGGGTTACAACCCTAGAAATGAGCAGAGTTTACCATAAGTTGGATACAGATGTCTTAGGCAATTATTCAATTCTGTATACAGTAGGATTTGAACCCTAGATCTCTTGCATAGCGGTCTAGCAACCTAACTACTACACTAAGATCGCTAGACAAAACCCATATCTTAGTTCTGACTCTAATGATATTCACCAAACCAAAACTAACGATAGCAATGAATGGGCTAACATGCTCATCGATAATATAAATAAAAAACAACATACTTCTTTTGACCAATTATTATAGCCTATTCAATGTATAGCTATAGCTTTAGAAACACCTGAAGGTATCCAAGAACTCACCACTTATAAACTACAAACTAAACCAATTCAATCTCTTATTCTACCTGCTATCTCTCTCAAATTCAAACACCTCGACACAAGTTTCTTCACTATCTTTACTCGCAACAAAAATTCTACTTTAGCTCACCAAAAAGAATTCCAAAACCTACAAACCAATACTATTAACAACTACAAAAAACTCTATGATATTAACTTTACAGATTGCAATACCAGAAACACAATTACCAAAATGCTCAAAACTTACCTAGCAACTCAATTCCTTCTTAACACTGACTTCACACGTATAAACAAATTTAATATATACAAAATTATTCAATACTGTTGCAGATTTATGCATATAGATAAAATCGAACCAGACAACATCAAACAGGCTATCAATAAAGTACAACAATCACTTCTTAAACTATTTCCTGATTATCCTGAATTAATATCTGAAGACATATGAAGCTTATTACTATTCTCACTCCCAGTAGCGAACAGATCTACTACTAGAGGAGTAGTAAATGCTCTAAGAAAAATTTACAAATTCCAAAAACTCTCAGAATCATACTTTCTAACCTTACTTCCTATTCTACCTAACTCAGAAGATTTAATCAAGCCTTTATCTTACTATTTTCCAATTAAAGAAAAGAAATAACTCCAATTTCTCTCCTACTACTAACAAAGACTCTTTGAGACCTATTCATTCAAAAGAATCCCAGAAAGCTACTTTGATATCCCAGCCCCAAAACTGCCTTTACCAACAACTCACTAAGAACTAAATCTCAGATTCTGTTCACTTTTTTTCCTAGATACTAATAATTCTGAAATTGATACACCCAAGATTATTACTGCACTCTATGAAGATTACGCCTTCAGAACGATCCCAAATGACTACTTTAAAGCAAAACCTCTTCTTCCAAAAGACATATCAAAAATCAAAACAACTACAACCTTCACCTTTTCAATTACTGATGATAGTGTGGTATAATGGTTTTACAAACAAGCATCAGCAAAATACAAAATAATCTTTCCCATACCAGACTACATTATGACTGCAAACCCAACTGAAAAACTATGATTACCAGATAAGGCAACTTTGATTCTAAAGCATAACATAACTCTACCAATTACTTCTCCTCAACAACTCACAGATATAGCAAGACTTCTTAGAAAAGATTATTACTTTACTAAGATCCTAGAAGAATGGCTTAACATAACAATCAACAAAAAAGGAAAAGCACTCGAAACAAATAAATCTCCTAACCTATTACCACCAATCCCTACTACCATTGAAGAACTCCAAACACAAATCACTAGTAACTCAATACAGATACAAATTCCAATAACTGAACAAGCCAACATACCTCCTACACTTCAAACTCTTAGACAACACTATACTATTTATTCAATTCCCGAATATCTACTTAATCTATCACCTTTACCTAATCCTACTTAAGAAATCTTTAATACTATTAATGACCAAACACACACATGAATCAGCCTCTCACTCTCCATCACCAAATTTTCAAATTTTTAACTACGATTCTTATTCTTCCTAATTCACAACTACTAATCTTGCAATAAGCAATTCCTCACATATACAACATCTTTTAAAATAGCTATTCACAATATTCAAGGTTTCAACAATATTACCAAATAACAACTATGGATTCAACACTGTATCCAAGAAAACTATGATATAATCAGTATTACTAAAACCAAACTCGCTGAAAGCAACTAGCATGACAAAACTTTATCTACTACAGCATATCTATTCTATACATTTAACAACAACTTACTCAACTTTTACTGTAATCAACAATCAAGCCTTGGTACTGTAATTATGATACAAGTTCATCTCTGACAATTTATACACAATATACAAACTCTTCCTAGCACTACAATTATGATTAATTTCTTCTTCCCATACAAAAACAGAATCAGAATTATCCCAACATATATACTTTCTAATCATGCACAACTCAGATACAACACACAACAACAAATTATAAATTGGACAAAACAAGCACAAACCTTACAAATTCATACAATTATCCTTGGTGACTTTAACCATGACCTAAATCGTAACTCCTATTTAACTTATCTACTTATCTTCAAAACTAAAACTTTCTACCTACCATTAACTACTTTTACCCTCAAACTCCTACATGGCAAAGAACAAACTCTAGCAGCCAGATAGATGAAATCTAGATACTGAAACAACTTATCAATACATTCAACACTCCAGTTCTATATAACTCAGAGCTTATTACAAATAG